AATCAAGATACTGCAAAACTGTTGGCCAGAAAAGAATCCAAAACAAAACCAAAAATTAGTCCAAATGTTGTGTTGTGCTTGGGTTTCTTTTGATTGTTTAGAGTAATATTGCCACATTTTAGAGCTGCGCCCTCGCAAAGCAATGTACAAAACCCAGAGCGATGTGTACTGAGGAGCAGTTCTGAAATTCAAAGCTAATTATACCTCTGTAAAAGGCAGGGGATTATGCTGCTGTCTTGGTGAGTGATTGTGCCGAGATTTAAGTTGGATCCTGGAAGAGCTTTTGTCAGTATTACTTCCAAGTGTCTTCAGCTAACTAGCATCATCATATCCGTTAGCTGGTACCCCAAGAAGTTGAAGGCAATGAAGTGACTGAACTGACACTGAATGGAGATGATGGAAATCTTACTGCCAGCATGACCAAAAACAGGGAAGAGCCCCCAACTTCTGGCTTACTCTGCAGCAGTAGTAGCAGCATCGTATTCCTACTTCTGCATTCCGTTTCATGCTCTCAGTGGCAATCTATGGACTATCAGGTCATGAAAGGTCTGCTCCAGGTGAATCTAGTGGATCAGGTGGCGAAGCCCCCCCTCCGGTGGCTCACTGTGATGAATTTGCAATGCATCCTGGGTTGTATTCACACAGGCTTGGATGCCATGGTTGGAACCGGATGGTGGCTGACTCTTGGTGTTACCATCCTGTATTCAGCCTGTTCAGCTAGAAGATGTGGTTGATTTTTTTGGAAGTTTTTGGACCTGGCAGTTTTTCTTTAGATCCATGCTTATCGTGGTTATCATAACCATCCAGGATGGGATTGAAGACTTGGACTTCAGAAGCAGTGAGTTCTTCCAGGTGTGAGAGTGTGCAAGTGATCACTACTGCCCTTAAGAAAGTTGTAGTGTGACCCTTACTAAAGAACAATCAGGAACTTTACCCTTAGACACCTGTCATCCAGTCTATGTTCTTCCTTTTCTAGATAAGGTACTCCAGGTAGCTCTGAAGGATTTGTTGTTGTGGCTAGTCACGAAGTCATGTCCAACCCATCGCAACCCCATGGATAACATTCCTGCAGGCCTTCCTGTCCTCCACCTTCCCCCAGAGTCCACTTGCGCTCACACCGACTGCTTCAGTGGCTCCATCCAGCCACCTCATCCTCTGCCGTCCCCTTCTTCTTTTGCCTTCCATTGTTCCCAGCATTAGGCTCTTCTCCAGGGAGTCCTTCCTTCTCATTAGGTGGCCAAAGTATTTGAGTTTCATCTTCAGTATCTGGCCTTCTAAGGAGCAGTCAGGGTTCATGTCCTCTAGGACTGACCGGTTTGATCGCCTTGCGGTCCAAGGGACTCGCAGGAGGCTCCTCCAGCACCACAATTCAAAGGCCTCAATCCTTTGGCGCTCAGCCTTCCTTATGGTCCAGCTTTCACAGCCATACATTGCAACTGGGAAAACCACAGCCTTGACTATACGCACTTTTGCCTTAATGATAAGCAGGGTTAGATGTTTCTGTTCTGTCCCATCGCAACAGTAGGTGCCATTCCTCTCCAACAGAAACTTTGTCATCCCTTGAAATTCAAAAAAGCGAACTGATATCTAGGTTCCTATATATATTTTTTGGAAGCATGCTTTTGTTAACCCGCCAATAGCACATTTTCATTTATTTTATATTAGAAGCAGGCAGACTTCAGCTGTTCAGGTTCTAGTTTATTTTTTGCTTGAATTGCAAGGACCACAGTACTCAGATGAAAGAACAGGGTACTTTGGAGCACACATACAGCCTGGGAATTTGTTTTCATTTCTCAAACTGAGTTCAAAGAAATCCATTCTGTGCGTCCCTCCCACATGCTTCATTTCAGCCTCCTAGCCTCCTTCATTTCTTAGTGTTTGTACGCGATCCTTGCCAATATATTACAAATCACCCAGCAATCTACCGGCAGATCCCAAAATACCTTTTTCCCACCCCTGCTATTGCCATGTGTGTAGAAGCTTCCTGGCATCTAAGAAGCAACACGGGAAGGGACTGTTAAAATGGCGAGAGGCCTGTGAGTCATTCATTATATTCTGACCCTTGGCTGAATAAGTAACAACCCGTTATTTTTTCGTTTTGAGCTGGCGGAAGTCAACTGACAGTTCACCAAGTCTGTTAAAATGAGAGGAGTTTGGGTTATTTGGAGACTAATCCCTGTGGAATTCCCTAAGACCCAGCATGATTTCCCCCTGCCCCCATTCGTAGGTTTTGTCATTTAATCTGCCGTCTCTTCCCCATATTCCACAGTATCTCTTTTAGCATGAAGATCGCTCTGTGCAAGCAATATGAAATTAAAAAATGTTTGACATTTTATAATGCAAGAGAACACAAAAATCATTCCAATGTCTTTCTGACAGGTTACAAAACATAAGTCTTGTCCTTGTAGAAAAGGCATCGATCTCAGGCATGCAATCGAAGGAATGTTTCTAAAATGTTATCGTTATTGAACTGGTCTCTCTTTGTTTTAAGAAATAACATGCCCTTTTAAGGAGGTGTTCGGGAAGGTGTGGGGGGGATCAAATTAGAATCCCTTACCAAGTCAACTGAAGAAGAATTATGTAAATCTGAAGGTGTCTCTCTCCTCTCTGCTGGAGGCAAAATTTTCCTCTCCCCAACACCACGTATAGAGTATTGCAGAGAATCTAGCATACAACACTCGGTTATTTTAAATATTTTCTCACGTTTCATGTGGGGAAAAACCATATAATACAATTTGTGATGCAGTATTACAAAAGCTCCTGTCCAGATGACTCTCCAGAATGACATTTAGAATTACTTGTGGACACACACGTATGAAAATGCTTGGATGGGATCTTTTTAATTGGATAGGGATGCTTTAACTAGGAGTCCTTCATGGAGCCAATGACCGCTTCCCACTGCACTATGCTATGATTCCGTGAATTCTTGGGACACAATTGCCTTGATCCAGGTCCCGGACTCTTTTTCCATCGCTTGAGAGAAGGGAAAAAATCCTATCCAGCCAATATCATTTGAATGCACGCATTCCGGCTTCTGATTGATTCATCAATGGATCTGCTTTTTAATCTACTTAGAATACCATCAAATGGAATTTGAGAGGGCATCCTGGAGTCCTCGGACAAATTGGATCTCTAAGGCTGGAGAGAGAGGTCCCATCTCAGAGTGTGTGATTAATCATTGAAGGGTGCGGTCCAGTGCCCTTTGCTGCAAATGCACGCACAGCTCCAAAGTGGGGCTTGCACGCATCCAGCAAATGGAGGGAGGCACCATTTCTGCTGTTGTGACTTGTGCATTTTGTCTAGGCAGCCCTTTTTTGGACTGTCTGATGGAGAGGGAAGGCATCAGAAATGCCAGTAAGAATTGCCTCAGGCAGAGAACCCCAGAATCCTCTGCTCCTTCAAGGGCCCAGTGTGTCCCCAGCAAAGCAGCCAGTGCAGTTCCTTCTGTGCTGATTGAGAAGGGAAGAGGCAAAGCCTTTGCCTTCCCAGCTAAGGTCCCAGGACCTTGGAGGTGTTGGGAGGTCTCGTAGCCCATCTTCTCCCACTTCTTCCAGCCAGATCGGGCCAAGAAATTTCTAGCTAGAAGCCTTTCTGACGTTAAAGCTGACCAGCTAGGCTGGCTTTGTAATGCAGGAGTAGAGTTCTACAGAAAGCAACAATCAAACTAGCATGGCAGGTTAGAATACTGGCCATTGAGGAAATGCAGCTTAATGATAGGTGCTGTTTTCCTGTTACGGCTGAGTCCATTTGCTCTCCCTTCCTCCTCTTCCTCCTGAATCGGATTCCAATTCAGCAACCTCTGAAGGCTCAGTTAGAGGAGGAATGCAGCCAGTCTCTCCACCAAGGGCTCTGGACTCCAAATGGTCATATGGCTCCCTCAGACTGTGCTGGGAGGCTTAAGACCTAACTGTGCCATCCTGTCCATGCTTATTTAACTATAAGGGCCATTGAGTTCAGTGAGACTGACTCCCTGGTAAGCAAGCACAGGACTGCAGGCTAAGATTTCTTTGCTGAATGGGCTTATGAGGCTCTTCAGAGTAGGATGTGCCATAACGACATTCCCTTGAAACGGTGGCATGCCATCGCTAATGTTTTTGGGGTCCTCTCACACATTTGGTGGAGGGAACCTTTCACGTGTGAAAGAACAGTAATTCTGGATCAATCTCTCCTCTACAAGAAAGAAGGGAGAATGCCTCTTTCAAAATGGTGCTTGTAACCACTAGTTTTTATTTGTTTTACTTAAAATAGTACATTTGATAGCCAATTTGTCAGGGATACTTTCTTGGTCAATGAAAAGATTTTGTTTTAATCAAAGAATCTAGCCAATGAATCACTTCAGCGTTACATCCCTACCGTACACTAATAACAATCTGCACTACACTGGAATGATAATTTAGGTTGTTTTCCACGCTAGCGTCCTTCAGCACTGTGGAGGCGTTGCTTTTCCATAATTAGCCGAAAATGATATTAAAACATAGTTTCCATGGCTGAGATCGCTTCTATCACATTGATTCCCTTTTAAGAGCAGCTGGTGATGAATTCCACCACCTAATTACCCCTCAAATGGCCTCTCTCGGTTAGGGATGTTATAAACATTCAAAAGCAGGGGCACTCTCAAAGTGAAACTTGACTCATCCCAAGGGCCAAGATACTTGCTTTGGCAAAAGGAAACAGACAAGTAGCACTGGCAGATTCTGCCATAGTGTTCCAGTGCTAAGGACTTGGCTGGGACTGCTAGTCACATCATCCCCAATATATGAATCATTCCCACTGGAAAGGAGCCCTCCGATGGATTCTATTATTTCAGATGCTTTGGAAAGTTAAAGGGGTTGGTGGATTATGTAATGATATGATTTAATCACTAGGTGGCACTGGATTGAGTCGAAAATTGAAGCAGGGAGGGTGTTTTTTGGCTTGGTGTGTGCGTGTATGCGCGCACACTCTTATTTATGACAAATCATAACGTTCTTGTCTAACTTGCTGATTGGTGTGTCCTCCAGGTCAGGAATGGTCCGACCAAACTGATAAAGATCTACTAGAACTCTCCAAATCCACCAACCAGAGCCTAGCACAAAAGGTGCACGCTTAGAACACGGGCTTCCGGAGCCTGAAAATCTATTCTGAGCACGTGACCAAAAAAGAGTTCATAGACCTTCCGCGCAAGAGTCCACTCCTGCTAACCTCAAGCTTTCTCGCTTTGTTGCTGCTGCTCTCAAGTAATGGAAAGTCAGAAATCCTCGCCCATCTATTGCACATCACCCAGAGATTACTAGCAAATCCAGAGCTGCCTTCTGCCATCCACCCCAACAAGTCTTGAATTTAATGAACATTCATATCCCTGTAGAAAAACATTCAGGGCTCACTTATACATGATTCATAGTCTAAGAGGCAAGGCAGTATTGGTGAATCATTGCGGAAAGCTCTCCTATTGTAGTAAGCAGGCCTTGCCTGGAAAAAGCAAAGAAGAGAGCTATGCTGAGTGCTTCTGCCTGCACGTCCCCCTTGCCCGCCCCCCCCCAGTAATTTTTCTCGCTAGCTGACTTGCTAGAGGAAAAACAGTTTGGAGAGTGATGGTGTGTGTGCGGGAGAGGGCAACTAGGGGGAAGGGAAGGGCCTTCCGCTTCTCCACTGTAAATTGTGCCTCTTTATAGCAGTTTAACCCAACTAATTAGGGTGGCCCATTTATGCTCCCCCCCCACAAAAAAAAAAGAGATGAAATGCATCGGCCCAAACAAGAAGGCAAAACAGGAGACTGCTTTGTATACAATTTGCATATGTTCATTTATATGTATAGATGCAAACTGGGAAATAATTACTATAATCCAAACCACCGTTCACCATCATGGGGGAGCAGGTGCCTCCTCGCCTACCCAGGCTGCTGTCCAGGTGCTAATTATCGGAGGGCAGCATCAAAGCTCCCCTGCTCACCCTCCTTAGGGTTCCTTCCTTTGAAATGGAGCTTGGACTGGACAGCCAGAGCACACCTTCAGCAACAGACGTCCATCCTCTGCAACTTAGAGCATATTTCCCCCTTAATTCTGATACATAGATCATACCTAGTTAGACCCTGAGAAGCCATAATCTCTGGGTAATCTCTTTGCTTATTGAGCTGTGTGAACTGTGCCCCTCAGGGACAGCCGCATGGCCAGCTGAGAATGTGTATTACTGCACTTCTGAGTGTGGTAAGCCATCTTGGCTGCAGACAGAGACCCTCCAAGCCCACACTGTTGGTTGGCTCGCCGGACAGCTGCCCCAGCACACACCGATGCGAAACGCCAAGTTTGCAAAGGACCCTTCCTTGTTCAGCAGCCCTTTCCCCACTGAAGATTACGCGCCTGTCCTTGCCAGAGTGATGCACCATCAGCCAAGGAAAACGGAACGCACTCTCTTGGGTGCAGAAGCGCTGAGCCAGCAAAATGCATCCGAAGGCGCTGCATGCCAGTGCGTCATTACCAAATAATTTGGCAGCTTAATCTCAGAGACAGAGAAGAAGGCAGTAGCTGAGAAGGAAACCACAGGCAAGTGGCATGCATGATGTCTTGGCAACCTGAGAAGGAGAGGAAAAAGCAAAACAGAAGCGTTCTGCTTCTCTCACACACCCAAAATGCAAACGCACCAAGGCACTCCAAGGCTCGAGTAAAGACCAGTGAGCTTCCACCTGCAGTCCAGGACAAGGAGGCGCGGTCTTGACTGACCTGTGCTGCCATGACAGATGCTATGGCTTCATGGGGGCTGCGGGGCAGATTGGAGCTCCCCGTGGTGGGGCCGATGCTGCTTCACACCCTGGACAACATGCGATTGGTCTAAATTCTCCCGATTCCGCGATCACGGTTGCTCCTTCCCCAGCTTTACGATGAGGAAAAGGCCGCTGTGTGCCAATTAATAGAAAAGCAATTTTTGCAGGGGAACAGGGACCGCTCAACAATCAAGTCGGAGGGGGTTCCAGTGCTCCTCGTGAACTTCAGCCACAGATCATATGATCATTTGTAGCATGCCTTCCTCTGAGGACTATTTAGCCTGCCCATTAATCCAACCCGTTAAGATGACGAAAAATGCAAAGATCTCACCAGGGTTCCCAAATGAGAAGTGGGTGAGAATACGGAGTAGTGTCTGCATTTAAGTCATTTGCAGTCATTTGCTGAAGACACAAACAATGACCGAGGTCTGGGATCTAAGCCAGCAATCCAGCAAGCAGTCCCCTGAGCAAGGGAAGGGCATGGATCATGGTGCAAAATAAGCAGGAAAAATGTTTATTTTATTTATTACATTTATATCCTTTTTTCTTGCAAATAAGACTGCTTACATCATTCTCCTCCTGCTCTCCATCTTATCCCCACAACAGCCCTGTGAGGCAGTTTGCACTGAGATTTTGTGACTGCTCACCCAGTTGGCCCCATGGCTGAACGGGGACCAGAACCCACATCTCCCGAGTCCCAGTCCCACGCTCTTAAGCACTGCACCACACTGGCTCTCAAAATGTTACAGTGCTTAATAGCAGATCCTGGAATTGCAACCCAGGGCCACTAGACTAAACCGAATATTGCTTTCAGTGGTCATCTCAAGTACTTTTGTACCTAAACTATATTAATCTTGCATCTCCCTCCATCCCTTTGCTACAGTAAAAACTTCAGTGATGAAATGTAGCCCAGCATTTTCTGCCATTTCTCTTTGATAGCTTCACAAGAAAGATTGTTTGTATAAATTTGCATCCTAAGTATTAACCTTTTGGCTCAATTAGCCAGATTAAGAAAGAGCCCTTTATTTCCTGTGGAAACAAAGTTCCTCATTTTTGGATACTCAGGTTACATGTAACTACTACACTTTCTCCAGTGCTCTTCATATTGAGAAATTAATCCCTGCTTAACATTCTACTGTATTCCTCTGTACTTGAGATGAACATCCATTTCAGAGAATCTCTGAAGGGCCACATTTCAGGGCCAAAATACCCCACCCAAAAAAACAGACAAACATTGGCTTCAGTCTCTTGTCATTGCTGTCTCTGACTCATGGTTCCCCTATGAATGAAGGCCCTCCCTCCAAAATGCCGTCCAGGACAGCTCCATTCAGCTCTTCCAAGCTCAATGCTGTGACTTCCTTCATGGATTCAGTCCATCTCTTGTTTGGTTTTTCCTTTTTACCTCTGCCTTTGACTTCATTTTCGTCTCCATCACAGCCCTCTCGTGATGCGACTGAAGGAGGGCACCGTCCACTCTCACTGTCAGTAAGCTTTAACTAAGGGGAAGAAACTGAAATTAGGAAATGATTGATGGGTTGGTGGGAAGGGGAAAGGGAGTCCTCTGGGGAAGTCAGCCAGGATTGGGGCCGCAAGAAGACTGAAGGATGGCCCTGGACCTGAAGTGCTGCCTCCACGCTGTGCAGGAACACTTAGTGACCTGACCTTGCGTAAGAAAAGAATATGGGCCCCTCACTCAGACCCAATAAACAGAGAGAGAGGGAGAGAGTGCAAACCACACAGAAATGCATGTTCCCGATTGGCACCGATCGAAAAGGGGGGGATTCGGGGCAGGGGACGAGGGGAGGAGCTGTATCCATCTGATGCACGGGAAATTGGGAAGAACGGGAGAGCTAATCTGATTCTCATTTAGCAATTATGAAAGGGCCTCCCTTTGCTCCGGCGGCAGACAAGGGGCGAGTGTCAGCCTTTCCTTGCTCGGGGAACATGCACACCCAGGCCAGAGCAAAGAGGGAAGCCGCTGTCGCAGGCGGCGATAAAGAAATGCCCCATCAGGCTGACAGCCAAGCAGGCCCTTTGATTAGCCAGGTGGTCTGCTCACCACAGAGCTTGCCAAGAGGGCCGAACCGTCCACTAGGAGAGTGCCAGGTGGCCGGGGCCATCTCTTAGGCCCCAGTTAACAATTGGCCTGGTCTGCAGCCAAACAGAAAGCCCCCACCCCTCAAGAAAAAGCAACCCCAGAACAGAGCGTCCCTCTTCCGTTTGCAGTGATTGCATGCCAATGTCGATTCGGTGGATGGGCAACACGCATCTGACCCGCATCAGATATACCACAGACATCTGGGAATGGATGCCAGATGGAGCGTTACCACACCGAAAGCAGTCCCAGTTCCAGGGGAGGGGGGGGATTCCCCCCTCCCTCGCATTTTGCCGCACAGCAAGAACGGTCAACGAAAATCCCTCAAAATGGAGAGAGGTTAGCATCTGCAAGGGCTCTTCTCTTTGTTGTCCGCCATACAGCAGCGTGGATTCGGGGTGTGGGCGTCATCTGATCAGCACTAAATGGGCTGCGAGCAACTTGGCATCAGTATCAACATGTGACATTATCACATTTAACATACCACCCATTTCAAAGGAGGCCAACTTAATGATGGGCATTTTGCTTGTTGAGTAAAAAAAGAATGCAGTGATTCCTTCAGGCCAGTGAGGGACTAGAACATAAGAAAAGTTCCAGTCCAGGACTGCTCTGAAAGGTATCTTGCCAGTCCTAAAGATCTGGAGCAGAAGCGAAGTGGAGTAATACTGGTATCAGGAAATAACCTTTAAAATTGATTTTCCTCATCTCTTTAGCCTGGTTCTGGGCATGTATTTTTGCTATTCAGTTATATTTGTCCCCCAACTTTCTTCCTCTCCCAAGGAACCCAAGGTGACTTACATTGCCTAGATTATTTTGTGACTCTCTGCCTGGTCATTTGTAGAGTTTTTGTGCTGTTTGACTAAGTGATTGTTGTTTTATTGGAATTATTAAGTTGTTTAATATTACCCTGAAAACCTAGGTAACCAGTAAGTAGAATGTGTGAAGTATACACAGAAGGAGTAGAGTATTATGCCTCTTGGGTTGCCTGATGATTCCCTCAGTTTGCATGCAGTGCAAACCCCGGGCAACATAGTTAACAGTCGGGGATTATGGAAGTTGTGGTCCAAAATATCTGGGCAGTACTAGATATGAGCTGCAGGGTTGGAGTGCACCTGATTGATATATCTGGATACTTGCAAAATTCAGGTGCAAGAATATTTATAAAGCCAGGAGCAGTGCTTGAATGATGGGGAGAAAGGCCCTACTCGAAGCTAGAGCACCCCCAAATTTTAGCTAGATCATGGGCTGCCCGTAATCTTCTGGAAACAGTGGCCAAGGAAGCAAAGAGACAGCCTGCCCCCATCTCTCAGCCCTTCAGATCCAAGCACGCACGCGGCAAAGATACCTTTGCTTTTTTATGCTTTGTCATGCATTTTTAATGGCAGCAGTGATGATTTTAAATGTACTTTTCCTCTTTGGGAAGGGATGATGATGCTTCGTGCATTCCTGGTGTGCTTTTGGCTCACGTAGGATGAGGGAACTATTGCTGCACGCCGAGATGGTTTAAGATAAAAAATAAGGGGAAGAAAGGAAACTCACTCCCATAGAGACCGTTGACAGGGAAGAGGGAAAGGCTACCCATCAACTGGTCCACACAATCTCAATCAATCCCTCGCTTGCTCTTCCTTTTCTCTGCTCTCCCTCTGCTCTCCGGCACGAATGCATCTGTCTGCTCTTGGCTGCCCTGGCTCACACAAGCCTGGCCTGTGTCGATCAGTTGGACCCAGCCTAGCAGTTGCCACAAGTGTTCCCAAGGTGCTTGTGTCATCCCTCCTCCCAGCCCGCCCCCCCCCCGCCGGCCTTCGCACAGCTGCCAAAGTGGCAGCCAGAGCAGAGCATCCCATCGCAGCTCAGCTTGCTGGCTCCCTTTCCAGCGCTCACATCAAGGCGTGGTTTGCTGACGTGGTGGTGTTTTTTGACCCGAAGCGTGCTGAAGCGCTGCCTCTCTTCTTCCAGGGAGCACATCCCCGAGCTGAGCTATATCTTTAGCCAAGTGCCAATGGTTGGCAACTTGTGGGGGCGTGTGAGTGTTACACAAGCTCCGCAACATTCCCCAGAGGTTCTAGAGCGGGCGTGCAACAAGGCCTTCCCAAGATCTTTCCAAGGGGTATGATTCATCAGGAAATCCCCACTGTTGATTGGATCCGAGAAAGTTTGGTGAGAGTAGCTGTGGGAGGCTCAGAGAGTTATATAAGGGAGCAGAGATCCGGAGTTATTCCAAAGGCCTAATTAGAGCCCTCCCTAATTCCATAGGTCACAAAATAGTGTTCTGACTTGCAAGGTCTCCAGAATGCGTCTACAGCGTCGGCAACTTCTGGCCCTCTAGAAGTTTGGGCTTACAGCTCCCTCAGCCCCAGCCAACATTGAGAATAGAAGGGATGATGGGAGTTGTAGGCCACAAGTTGCCTACCCTTGCAGCAGGTGGTAAATTTTGGAAGGAGCGTGGAATTTGGCAAGGACTGAAGAAGTGGAGGCTGTATTTTGTCTCTGTCCAAACGTGGCCTGTGGGAGGGGGAAAGCTTTACTAGGCTTTGCTAGGTGTTGTGATAATTCCTGGTTTTGCCAGGGGGAGAGATCAAACATCCAGCTTCTGTTCAGAATTAGCTTTCAGTGAAGCACAGAGGTTCTGGGGAAAAGAGGCAGAGCCAAACCAGCCTAAAAGTTGCTAAATGATCTAAGCTGAGGATCTCAAATGAAAGCAAAACAAAACCAAGATTTCAAAAGATGCAGTAGCTTTATTAAGTAGCTTTTAGTAGCTTTATTATTTATTAAGGCAGCAATTTACCTGTTTGCTTTACCTGGTGATGCAAGATACTTCCAAAGCAATCCTGTGAGAGCCCGTCTCACAAAGTTCAGTGGGGCTTATGTGGAAAATGTTCAACGCATTTAGCATCGCGTTTTGTGCGAAGTCGTTGCATGCTGTCGCAGAGAGTTCGTTTGCGCAGGAAGCTGCGCGCACGGGCGCGCATCTTCGTCCTCCTCCTCCTCCTCCTCCTCCTCCTCCTCCTCCGCATGGATTGCATCATTCTTGCAACAGTCGAGATCGACCTGTGTGCCCACGCGCTTCTCCGGAGGAACCCTGGGAAATGTAGTTCTGCAACCATAGGCCGATCAAAGGGGGGGGGGGGGGACACAACACCCGGGATTCCGCAAGGCAGCAAGCTCAGAGGCTGAACAACCGGCATTATTTTCGAGCAGTCCCTTCACAGGAGTGGGTTGTCTCGTACAAAGCCCCCCGCAGCCCCGCTCCCCTGCCCATTTCCTCATCCCCACGGGCATCCCTGTTCCCAGGACAGTCCCAGCACGTTATTCATCAGCGTTCTTACTTGCAAGCTTCCTTTCCGCCAGATCCATCCAAGGGGGTGAGCAACTTGCACTCGTGAAAACATCAAGGTCGAATGAAAC